AAAAAAACAATAATTGCATTTTTTATTTCAATAACGCATGAGTAAACAGGGATATGAACGCAGATTTAATATAGGCCCATAGAATTACGGGGACCGGCAAAGATTTGGAAAGTCTGAATACAAGTCCTGCTTACACCTAATAAGTGCTGAAATGGGACATAACCAGAGGTAGAAAGGTCTCGGAAGCACTTGGGAAGAGGCTTCCCAAGACCTATCCAGTTCTGAACGGAAAGACCTCAGTAGAACTTGTCAGGTCCAATTATTCGACTCGGGAACCCCCAACCTATAATTTCGAAATTATAAAAATTATAGGTTCGAGTTTTTAATCATTTTTAGAACTTGAACAGGTCCATGCAGGAAGAAAAGAAATGATAAAAACATATCCTATCATTCTTGGAACCTAATCAGGTTCTGGGAATTACAGGCTCTTTTTTAAATAAATTCTAGAACATGATCAGGTTAGGGGAATTAAACCCCCTGTTAGGTTCTGTTTTTAAATAAATTCTGGAACCTGATCAGGTTACAGGAATTGTAGGTTCTGTTTTAAAATTAATTCTAGGGTTTGATCACGTTATAGGAATTCGAGATTCTAAGAATGATAGGTCCTGTTTTAAATAAATTCTAGACCTTAATCAGGTTCTAAAAATTGCAAAAATTAGTACATAACCGCACTGAATCTGATTAGATGTGTCTGAATGGCGATTGACTTAATTCAAATACACATACACACTCTGTCAGCTCGCGTTTAATTGAACCTGATCAGGTTGGCTAATAGAATCAGGGCCGTTATGGATCCGTACAAGAGTACCCTCGGAATTGAGAAATTTTTCAGTTCCCTTCTCCGTGAACGTCACCTTTCCGCCTCAGAGGTAGAGGACGAGTGATTTATTGAGCAATTCCTTTGTATTTGTAATTGAAGATTAAATCCAGTTTCATTTTTTATATTTCTAAAGGGAGTCTTATTTCCATCGGAAAAGAATCAATATCTCCTGGTATATTGGTACCCAAATGCAAATTTTTGATGGAGTGTGGGGTTGAATGTTCCTGTAGTACATGCGAATACAATGTCACGTTATTAATGGAAAATGGATGTTTGATCACATGTGTTGTCGTGTGGTTACAGGACTCGAGATGATGATACGCATCTACCTGGTGCTCCTGTGTTCGTGTATGGCTAGAGGAAAAATTGGTAAGTTTTATTTACCATCATCATTCAGATGACAAATTCTCCGGATTTAATCGTCCGAAAAATACAATGTTATTGTCCACTTGTTGCCATATTTCATCTCCAACTCCCGTGCAGAATAAAAATGAGTTAAATTATACTCCATTTATTTATTAAAAAAATGTATAACTCAAGGGAAGGAAAAAAATTATCCAACTTTTCCGGAAAACTCTCCTAATTCGAGTTCGAAAACTGATCTATATAAAACTCGTAGCTGTGGAGTGCGGCATGGAGTGTAAAAAAAATGGGTAGGAAAAAAGTTTCGTGAACTTGGACGAGCGTGAAAGTAACGACCATCGTGATATTATGTGTACGCGACATACAGCACGCCATAACCTGGAATTGATTGTTGCGAAAGCAATAAATAACCCCGTGCCCTGTTACTTTCGTTGGTCCTTTCCTTTTTTTATTATCTTTCGCTGGCGATCAAAATGAGCTCTAATGTTGCACGAAATGGCCCGAGGGTATATGGGACACATTTTACGTATCATTCATTTTTTAAGGAGTTGTGCGCAGGGGGATGAAATATCGGGGGGAATTAAGAATTGATTGGATGGGCCGGGAGGGGGGGATCGCCAAGTGTAAGGCTCGAGTGACTAACTTCTGCTTTTTCAATCTCGAGGGAGCAATCGCTGTTATCGTGATCCTTGGAATTTTGTCGTTGATTGATCTTTTTGGGGGATTTTTTTATGAACTTTATCGTTATTGTGAAAGCCTTATGAGACCCGTCGACATGAGTTCCAATCCGTTGACTCGTGTGACCCTTACGAACCTCAAAAGGTTCTTAATATTTATTTTAATTTGAGTAATTAAATTTTCATATTGAATTTCCAGTAAAATGTCTCCTGAATATGTTCATTTATCTAGTTTTAATTAAATAATTCAGTAAATAGTCAAATCCGTCGTCTTCATCGGATTATTATATTCATTCACTAGGGGGCTTCGCCCCCTGCTCGCTTCGCTCGCCGACCCCGGCGGATGGACAGTTCGTTTTTCGTTCAAATCTTGAAACATTAACTATTGGATACTATTTTTTTGTTCTTCGGTGTGGTTAAACTGCAGCTGTTAGTTTCCGTGATACGGAGAAAGGCTCCAACCAACATGCGACCCCCATACGACCCCATAGATTTTCTGGTTATTTTTATTTTATAGTGCGATGAGTCTCATANCTGGGTGTTTTTTTATTTTATAGTACGATGAGCCTCACATATAGTAGCCTTTATATACTTTCGCTTTCCTCCGCTCGCTGAGCTCGCTCCCCCCCTCTAAGAAATATTTTATTGATGACAGTTTTTCAGTTAAGTATAGTCACTTAAAATTCAGTCTTATTTTTATTGTATATCTAATACGTAGGCTATTGTTATATTCAGTGAAATACTGAAAGACATTTATTTTAATTTCAATAAATAAATTTTTATATCCTATAATCAAAACATTATATATCATATGTAAATACCAGGCTGAAGGCCCTCGGGCGATGGCCAGTCAGAAAATTCTTGTGACAAATTCCGTTAAAAATAAATTTTTATTTTAACATTTCAATAATGTCTGGTGCTCTTCGCTGCAAGATATTTCAGAAAAACGTGGATGACATCCTGAATATATTGATCTCGCGGGTTTTAATTCACTTTTGTTCCATTTAAATGATTCTATGAATCATTAAATTCATCATCTCAATGAGAGTGGAATATTCATTTATTCAAAAATCTTTGAGTGAACTTCATTCGATAAAACCATTATACTTTTTCAAAATTCCCCAAAATATATCTAAAATGGATTAAGTCATCATTTATGCAGAAAACATGAGTTTCTACCTCTTTATAATTGGAGTGATAAGCATTAAAACACTCTAAAGTATATCAATTCAATAACAATATTTCAATATAAGCACAATTTATTATTCAGTGTTGGGAAAAAAATAAAATTTCACGGAGAAAAAACTAAAATTTTACATTTTACTAAAAATTCGATGAAATTGCAAATTTCTTAACAGCAGAAAAATGCAAAAATGTAACATTTAAATCATTTTGATAATGGCACAACCCCAAGAACTGACCTCTAGTCCCCCAATCCCCCCTCCCTTCTCCATTAATTCACTGAAATCCTCTGGATATCCATTTCCAAAAAGCTAGCACCGAAAAAAACTCATAAAACCATTTTTATGTTACAGGTTACTTCTGGCACATTACGGACATTCATTACGACCCGAAATATTCGTCCCAGGGTAACACAGACAGTAGTAAGTCTCACTTTGTTCACTCCATATAAAACAATTCCCCCTTCCCCAGCCCATTACCAGTTTCTTCTCCGGTCGTGTCCATTAATCCCTCCCCCAAACTTCCCCGAGTCCTCTTTATTTGTTAAGGTATATCCCTAGAAAACAGGTTTTTCATGCGATTATCCCCAAATTTTTCATAGGTAATGTTTATAATATTCCCCAGCTGTCAACTTTAAAAAATGTAAATTTCGTGGAATAATTTCTTCACGGAAAAAAAAATTTGAAATAGGGGGCTACGCCCCCTGCTCGGCTCGCCAATCCCCATATGATCACCATATAACCCTCATGATCCTTATTCTGACCCTTCAACCCTTGATTTTGATCTTTGTGACCTTTATTCTGACCCTCGAGACCCTTATTCTAACCCTCTTGAACCTTATTCTGACCCTCGCCACCCCTTATTCTGACCCTTATTTTCACCCTTGTAACTTTTAATTTTAGACTCTTAATTTCGAGTGTACTTGATTCAAGTATATTTTATACGCGAATGGGGAATGGGTGGTCCAATTCGAGGATAATTATTGTTGGGGGGGGTTGTACCACGCGCTCTCAAATGCAATATAAGAGTCAGGCTCTAAGTGTGAGAATATAAGGGTAAAAAAATCTAGGTTAAAAATGAGGGTCGGAATATTGGAGTAAAAAGCTGAGGGCCTGAATATAAATGTGAAGAAATGAGGGCCAGAATGTTAGGGTTAAAAAAAAAGGATCAGAATATTAGGATCAAAAAATTAGGGTCAGAATATAAAAGTATAAAACGTGGGTGTCAGGCAATGAGGGTCATACAAGGCCTAAAAACGGTGATCAAGCATAATATATTATGACTTATATTTAAACCCTCATTGCCTGACAGTCACTTTTTTTACTTTTATATTCTGACACTTAGTGCCTGACCTTTATATTACACTTAAGAGGGCTTGATACAACCTGGCCTGATGCAAAAGAATCATCTTAGAATTGAAATACCCATCCCCTCATCGAGTATAAAATATATGAATATATTGAATCAGCTATATTTTATACTCAATTCAGTCTTTATATTCTTTTTTCGTGTTATTTCATTCAAACAATTAATTAACAAATAATTTCTAATTTGATTCAAATAGTTATTATTGCCTTCATCAACAACATATGAGAATAGAAAAACTCGAAAACAAAGATTTTTTTCCGGAAATCCATGGGGGATTAACGGTTGGGTGGAATTGTCTTGGGATACACCTTAAACAGCTGATATCCTCCCCTTCCTTCGTATTTTTCCACACCCGTGAATTGCACTTTAACGCAAAGATCGCCCCTTGATCTGTTCGTATCACCCGCGAAATAATTTTTTTCGCTCCGTTTTTGCGTGATTAAGTAGAACCCCTCAGACTCATTCCCCCGAGAATGAAAGAAATGAAAGTAGGGAGGATTAAAAAAAATATATATAATGTACATGAAGGAGTGCAGGGACTGGAATCGCAGCTGAAGTAACCAGTCTTGTGACCCACTTATTTTAACCCTAAGATCTGGCGAGTCCATAGAACGCTCCACTTCAACTTCTTGAAACTCGGTTCCAGTTTTTTTTTTACCGGATAGTGTCTGCTTTTAATTTTCCACGCCGAGAAACAGGTCCGGATAAAAATTACCAATTAATGTACATAGAAAAACTAGAGTTGAAAGTGAGAAATTTTTCGTACCGTTTTCAAAACGTTTGGGTCACCGAATTTGAGTCATTTTTAAGGTATTCCATTTTCAAGCAATTCCTGAAATTTCAAGGAATTTTGTCATTGAAAATTCGTAATTTTGCAGAAAAATCCGTGGGAACTATAAATTTTAGTTCAATTGTTTCAGGGATAATAGTAAAAATCAGGAAAATTCAGATAAATCTTTCCTTGAATTCTAGATTCCCCTGAATTTTCAGAGAATTTCTTTATAAATTCCTGAAATTTCAAGGAATTTTGTAATTGAAAATTTGCAATTTTACAGAAAAATCCGTGGGAGCTGTGCATTTCAGTTAAATTATTCTGGGAAAATTAATGAAAAATCAGGAAAATTCAGATGAATCTTCCCTCAAATTCCAGATTGCGGTGATTTTTCAGGGAATTCCTTCAAAAATTTTTGAAATATCAAGGAATTTCATCTGAAATTTATAATTAAATGGAAAATCCCTGAGAACTGTAAATTTCAGTTTAATTATTCCGGGGAAATAAATGAAAAATCAAAAAAATCCGGATAAATCTTTCCTTGAATTCCAGATTCCCTTGAATTTTCAGGGAATTCCTCCAAAAATTCCTGGAATTCCAAAAGAATTTTAAAAGAATTCCCTGGAAATTCAAGGGAATTTGTCAGTGAAAATTCATTTTCACACGGAAATTCATGTGAATTATGTGGAATTTTCATCTTCCTGACGCTAAAAGCAATGAAACTTGACTTGAATTTTCACAGAAACTTGAAATTCCATCAACTTTTTCCCCTTAAATCGAATTTAAGGTTTTTTTTCGGGAAATTCAGTCAAACTTTTTCAACCGTGTACTATTTCGCAATTTTCACTGCCTCTTTCTGACCATTTTTCGTCGATTTTTTCCTTCAGTGCAACAACCTTTTTGTTTATCCCTGTTTTACAATTATTCCTCTTGTGGAGTGATTACGTGCATATAAAAACGGTCGGATAGGCATTGTAATTCGATCCCTTCATCAGGGTAATCCATTCGCTGATGAACAAGTCATGGATTCAATCGGATTACCCTTGATTAGGTCATTTGTGTTGTCGATCCGGACGCAAAAAGTGAATGAGTGAATTGACTCTGTTATTGCTTGCAGTGTGCTGGAATATAAGGACGGATATTGACAGCGGGGGGATAAGACCGGCGAGGCGAGTCGCTGGTATTTTTGGCAACTACACCTGTGATTCACCGTGGGCACTGATAGAATCAGCAGTACACGCTATGAAATCGAATCAACCCGACGAGGGAACCGAGTTCGTTCTCTGGACAGGGTGAGTTTTCTCTTAAATTTTTGGAGAAAATTGTTGGGTGATAAAATCCATGCGACAGCATGGCATTGGCATATCTGGGAAACTCTAGGCGCGATGATGAGATATGCCTCACTCGAAAATTTACTATTTAAGAATGTTTAGCCGAAATCCATACTATGCACTATAATTTTGATATTGTCTCATATGCCAGGTGTATATTTGAGCCACACGTTAATAATCATGTTAATCCTTCCATTGGGGCATCCTAATGAGAAATAAATTTTTGAAAATCACTTCTTGTAATATTACACTTGAGGAAGAAACGTGAGCGTGTGAGTTTTGATCGAGATGTTGCATGGGTTAGCCACTCAAGATATTGAACAAAAACCACAAGCTATTTACTTTAGACTATGGGGAATCTATCGCCAGCGAGAACAAGTAAGGGACCGGGCCATATAGGCATGATATCTTCGATTGATTTTCAAATTTCTCAAAAAAAATTTGACCACCATTACGAGTCGAGCAACGCGACAACACCACACAATAGCTGATCGAGGTCGGTAAAGTCGGTGACGATAATTCAGTGCTGGAAGCATACGGACACGTATAACACACACAAACATTCATCTCACTGTTACCACCCCACTACTAGCCGAAACGTGCGGTGTTGTCCGATCAAAGTTCGACTGTTACCACTGCGGTCACAAGTCCTCCATGATTTATGAACATTTTCTTTAATCATTGTTCTTAAGAACGGAAAAGTTCGCCATAACCCTTTTAATTTGATGAGGAAAATCATTTGTAGCATGAATGATTTATTTAGTCAATTTTTTTTCCAACTTAGTTGTCCACTTGATAAGTTAAACATCCTTAACGTACTAACTTCAGGGGTGGTCATCAATCTTCCAATTCTTCAGTATTGAAAGAGTTCCCGACTTACATTGATTAAGGTTTAAATATACTAATCAAAATTAAAAAATAGTAAAATAATTAAATAATCTAAATAATAAATAATCTAATTTTGCATTTGATGGTGAATTAAATATTTAATAATATTTCCGCTGTTTCCTCAAGTATAAACTAAAATTTTAAGTCGTAAGAAAAAATTACAATTTAACACAGTAAAAATTCATACGATTTGAGTAATTTCTCGTCGTTCAATAGTAAAAATTGATAAAGAAATAAAGCGTTTTTAACACTATTGTAAATTACTTTTTCGTCCGTGCATTTTATACTATTTCGTCTGTTAAAAACTACTACGTTGAATCGTAAAAAGTGAATTTCACATCGCAAACGTTTGGTTAAAACGAATCAAATTTTAATGTTCACCCGGCTCACATAGGAATTTTTAATTTCATATTCTCTCTGTCTATGAGCCCTAAAAATTCTCCTAAAAACCCATTTCACTCGCTATAGAATTCTTCACAATTTGTTCGCGATGTCTCAATGAGTTTTCAATACTCCCCGAGATATTGCAATTGCCAGTGGAGAGTGAGCTCCTGCTGATGAACTCCGTCACCTTACCCCGTCAAACTTCCATTATTCACAGCACCTCCATTCGCACCTTCGCTACACCAAAATTCCCTGCGACGCCTGAACCAGAAACTTTCAATAACTCTCTTTCAGATGTTTACCCGTAAAAAACATTCATGTCATGCACGTGAGGTATTGAACGGCTGACCACCGAACACCACCCATAACTCGATGGAATTATATCAAACATGTCAGACTCTGAAATTCGGTGCTTCATCCCAGTCAGTTTCACTTTGCTCCACAATTCGTTTACAGTTTAATTGAATTTACATGAATTTACCGTTTGGAGGATCTCCCAGGTACAGCTGAGCTCTGTTTTTTGGTGGGCGGACGGGTGGGACAAGAGGACGGGATGAAATGGGGATGATGACGGGATCAAAGAGGGGCAATTGGGGCTGGGCAGGGGTCAAAACTAGTCCAAACGATGAAAACTACAGTTCTGTGGTGAATGAAGCAGGCGGGGGGCAAAAACCTTTGACGGTGCTGGCAAAATCCGGCGTAGGGGAGTATAAACGCTCTTGGGGGATGAATGCATGAGTTATATGACCCGTGGAAACGCACGCATACAGATTGGAAAATGAATGAGGGGGGACGACGGCTGAGTGAAGCCTCGGAATTGCCTCGTTTCGTGTTCCCCAAAACTTGTGAACATAATGCACCGTGACACACAGGTAACGTGTATTAATAATCAGGTGTAAATGTGAAGAGTGTACGAGAGGCGGGTGTTTACATTAGCTGGGGGGAGGTGAAAATTCAACAATGTCCGACTATCTCCCAATTATTAGTTGCGGATGCGTTAGCATGTTGCGCCCCGGACACCTTGATAATGTGTATATAGTGCCTTGAAACCATTGGTGATTACAGGCCACCGCGTAATGCGGAAGTCGTTTCTGGGCTTCGGGTGGGCGAATGGCGATGATGAATATCCGTTTTGAAATGACGATGGTTTTTTGGGGAGTTGAACGAAATTTTGCGAGTTCAGTGAGGGAAAAATGTGGAAATTCAGGGGTAGGCGACTACTTATTAGGTTTTAGGAGAGTGAGATTACATTCCTTTTAAGGGGGAAAAATCGAGGTATTTCAGATTTTAGAAGATTCAGATTTCAGATTTTATAAAAATTCGGGAATATTCCAAAATTGTTGACGATTTTTTGAGCAACTTTACGATGAGAAGTTCCCAGGTTAGCTGAATATTCCTGATTTTCATCTATTTTTATAGAATAATTGAACTGAAATTCAGTTTCCATCGATTTTTCCGTAAAATTCTCAATTTTTAAAGACGAAATTCCTTAAAATTTGAGTGTAACAATAACGTGATAAAAATATCCACCAACAATACCAAAAATTCTATAAAAAAATTTCCAACACTATCAAACATTCTAAAATGTATCAATCCCATCCCTAATTATCATTTAAATTAGTCGTTGTCAGCCGAGAAAAATTCTCAATTGAAACAACTGCAAAGAACTTTCCTCATTAATTGACGCCCCCAATTAAGTGTTTCAATGACTTCCGCCATCACAATACCCTCTGAAACTTCAAACAGAACCCTCATTACATTCATTACAATGTTTCCCACTCCACTGCACCTCCATATAACTCAATTCCTCGCCAGATAATGATGAAATTACCATCACTCATTGTTGCCCTCTGTTCCCAGCGATGCAGTGACTCACAACAGCGAAATGAGCGAGGAGTTGCGTCTGCAGTCCATGAAGAATCTTACGGATCTATTGTCCCACACATTCTCAAGCCAATTTGTGTTCCCCGCTCTAGGACACGAGGACGTCGGCTTGAACTTCAGCCAGACCGCGATTTTGTGGAAGCACTGGCTGCCGAGCGAGGCTCTCCAAACCTTTGAAAAATGTTGGTAGTGTATGGCCCGGTGCAAACGAAAGCGCAAAAACATTTTTTTCACCCTCTTTTTTCACATCTTCCCTTCAACCTCCCCCACACCTTTCTCCATGTTTTTTTTCCCTTCTTTCATTCCCTTCATAAGTTTTTTCTCTCTTTTCATGCCAGTCATTCTGCTTTTGCTAGCACGAATCCTCCATCTGGGTGGTACAATATAATTTCGTTTTTTTTTCTCTGACATTTTTTTCCTCTCCACGCACGGTATTTCTCTTTCTTTCCGTAATCGTTCTGTCTTTTGTCACTCCTTCTCTCCCTCTCCCTCCGGCCGTTGTCGTGAAATTCAACTTTCTCAACTGTACATTCACTCTGAGGTACGAGTCCGAAATAAAAATGCGCCGAGGACTTAATTTTCGATGCATAAATCCACAAGTTTTTTCCAACGGCTCTCTCACTCTTTCGGTGTGTAACGCACAGCCCAAACTTTTTCCACCGTTTCGTGAGAAAAAATATGTCGGTTGAGGGGGGTAGGGGGAGGGAGTGAACGAGCAGAGGGCAGGTATAACTGAAAATGAGGACTTACTGCGGAGCACGCTTTATTTTCTAAACCTCCTCAACTTTGCTATTTGATAAGTTTCTTTCCACTGGTTTTTTTTCTCAAAGTTCGCGTGAAGCATAAGTTTATGAATAAAGGACTGGCTGGTGGGAAAATTAGACTCGGCTTTAACTGCACGGTCACGCGATTGTTGTTTAGAAGTAATTCAGGAAGCAATAATGGGAGATTTGTGAATTAATGTCTTTCTTTAACTGATTTTACACTTTTGTGGGCTGGTCATTTCATTACTGGAATTACTATATTTATTTATTTCGGGGAGGGGGGGAAGTAGGTGTTATTGTGGGGCGTTACTCAAGTCTATGATTTGAGTAATTGAGTTCAAAGTAATTGTAGAAATCATATTTCCTGATTACTAAGTATTTTTGATCGTTAAAATTATCGAAAATTGGTGGGTTGTGCAGGACAATTGATCTCTGATTCAGGTACATGTTATGAGGTTCATGGGGGTTATAAGGGTCACGTGAAGGTCATAAATCAGTTGAAAGGGTCGTAAGGATCATCTCAGAGCCGTAAAATAGGTCATAAGGATCATGAGGGTCACATGAAAGTCATAATGTAAATCATAATGGTCATGAGGGTTGCGTGAGGATCATAAATTGAATTATAAGGGTCATTTGAAGGTCACAAGATGCGCATAAGGGTCATGAGGGTCATACGAACTTCATAATGTAAATCATAAGGGTCGCATAAAGCCCATAGAGTAATTTAAATGTTCGTAAGGGTCATTTGAACGTCATAATATCAGTCATAAAGGTCACAAGGGTTGCATAAAAGCCGTAAGATTAGTAATAAGGGCCGTGAAGCCGTAAGGGCCACATAAAAAACATAAGCATTGACGAAAATCGATGAAATAATTATCCTCAGACCTTACGACCCTTATACTAAATATCCCAAGGGGCTCCAAAAAATTGCAAAAATTGTTTCACGAAACACAATCCTGTGATTCAATCAAAATATTTTTTATTTCTTTTTCAGCTGGTTACTATACAATCGAACAGAAGTCAAAAAAATATCGCATAATATCACTCAACACAAATCTGTGGTTAAATTCAGTCACAGGTGTTGACAATCGTGTTTCACAGCATCACCAGAATCAGCGCACAGGTGCATCAACGGGGAATGACAACATGGATGACCCACACGGCCAGTGGGACTGGTTTGATAAAATTCTACGTTCAGCAAAGGAGAAAAAGGAAAAAGTGAGTTGAACCAACCTACAATCTCATTCTTTTTCCCCCCCAGTGTACCACTATCCTCTACCCACTCCGACATTTTTCCCTGGGATTTCCTTTTACTTGAGAATAAAAAAAAACCCTTCAGTTTCGATTACCCAAGTCAGCAGGTTTTGTTCAACTCCACCTATTCACCTCTTTGTCACCAACGTGATGTTCACTTTCTCACACCCTCCCCCCACCTTTCGCCACATCCAATGCCGAGATTTTACTCTTTTCCATTGGATAACTTGATTTATCTACTTTACAATTACATTTATTCCCGCTGTTGCCTCGTTGAGATATTTCAATTTGTTATCCCGTGCGAATATTATGCGATTTCTGGGCAGAAGAGGGAATTAATAACGTTTGGATTTCGGGGCGAATGAGTGTTATAAGGTTCATTATATGAATCATAAGGATCTCATGGAGACTATAAGATAGTTTTCTAAGGGTCATGAGGGTCCCATGAAGATCATAAAATAAGTTGTCAGGGTCACGAGGGTCATTCGTCGCCCATGTGATATCATGAAAGCCATGAGGGTCATACGAAAGTCATAATATAAATTATAAGGGTCACATGGAGACTATCAGATATATTATAAGGGTCATAAGGGTCGAATGAAGGTTACAAGGATCAAACACGAAGGAAAAAATCAATTTCCCGTAACGATTGACCCTTATGACCTCATTATGCGATTTCTGGGCAGAAGAGGAAATGAATGTTTGGATTTCGCGTTGAATGAAGACGAGCGAAGTTTCCTGGGGCTCAGATGACGTTCATTATACAGGGTGTCCCATCTGAAAAGATGCGGCTAAATATCTCTCAAGGGGGGCGGGTAACAAAAAAATGTTTGATACAAAAATTGTAGGGTTTCGAGGAGGACGTCCGATGTTGTTATTATTTTGAGCTTTCACGCTCACGCTTGCAAGCTGCAAGCACAAAGTGCTTGCTGTTCTTCAAATGGCAATCGCATGTTTTACTCCAATAAAACTTGTTCATCTTGATGAGTTGTTTTCAGAAACCTCTTCATTCATTTAATTTCATCTCATCTTACTCGAAAAATGCCACAAAAACGACTTCTGTGGTCGAATTCAAGATTCAAACATCCTTGGCGCATCTTGGTGTAATTGTTCCATTGAGCTGTTTACACACCGGAATTATCGAATGTAAACAATAAACAAAACATTTCCCTACTCCTTCGAGGATTCTTTTATTCTAATCGGTGCCAATTCAACTCGAATCAAGTTAGTATCACTTGTTATTTCATTGAACACATCACGATGTATTCAGCCAGTGATATTGTCGATATTTTACTTGTTTTGGGAGGGAGTAGGGGAGTGTATCGAGCCGCTGCTCGAACATATCGAGAACGGTACACGTTCCACGTGGTGCATCCTGGGTTACGCTAAAAAAAGTCTGAAACTTCAATTTGGCCACAAAACTTTTTATGGCATTTTTCGAGTAAAATTAAATGAAATTAAATGAATGACGAGGTTTCTAAAAACAAATCATCAAGATGAACAAGTTTCATTGGAGTAAAAAATGCGGTTGCCATTTGAAAAAAAGCACTTTGTGCTTGCAGCTTGCAAGCGTGAGCTTGAAAGCTCAAAATGATTTCATTGGATGTCCTCCTCGAAACTCTACAATTTTTGTATCAAAACATTTTTTGTTACCCGCCCCCCTTGAGGGATATTTAGCCGAATCTTTTCAGATAGGACACCGTGTATAAATCATAAGGGTCACGTGGAGGCCATAAGATAGTTTATAAGGATCGTAAGGGTTCCGTGAAGATCATAAAATAAGTTATCAGAGTCACGAGGGTCATTCGAAGCTGCGATGCGATGTCATGAGAGCCCTGAGGGTCATACAAAGATTCCAACGTAAGTCGTAAGGGTCACATGGAAACTATCAGGTAATTTATAAGGGTCGAGAGGGTTACATGAAAATTATAAATTGAACTATAAGGGCCATGAGGGTCATATGAAGATCATAATAAACATCAAACGTTACGGGAAATTGATTTTTCCCCTCATGTTTGACCCTCATGACCTTTCTTGTCACCTTGATTTGATCCTTATGACCCTTACATCGATCAGAAATCCAATTTTCAAAATGGCAGAATTTCCGGCATCCAGTCCATGTTTTCCCCTAAATTCTTCAATTACATTTATTCCCGCTTTTATCTCGTGAGCCATTTCAATTTGTTATCTCACGCGAGAATTATGCGATTTCAGGAGTTAAATATTATTATTTCGGATTTCAGCACGCAGTGCAAAGTTTCCAGATTCTAATTAACGTGAGTGCTTAATTGTATTAAGCGAGTCTCTTTTTTTTTCGCTGCGAAAAAATTCAACCCGATGGAGATATTCTCGTTGCGTTCTCGCCCTTTAAATTTTTTAGTTCCTCTTAACCGGTTGGCATTCGTTCACAATGTCTTCTGATTCGTATCGGCAGGATCTTGAAAGATTAGTGACTTTTGAAGCACCCGAACGTTCGGTGGAAATAATTTATGAGACGATATTGGAGTGATCGTCTCTTCTTCAAGTGAAAATAATCAAAACCTCTGTATTTCGAGTGAGCGTGGTGGTTATCCTCTGAATTTTTTATAATTAGAATTCATTTGAGTTTTATAATATTCTATTGAGTTTTCAAGTCAGTGACTACAAGAATAGTCTTACGATTGTCCAAGATTTATGATGAATATTGTCGTCTTGAATTTTATTCCAAACGACAATCTATCGGGGAAGTCTTGAAGAAATATTGAAAATTCAAAGCGAATTCATGTTAAAATAAATCAAATGGTTTTCGTCAAAACGTCATACTGTCATATTCTCCATTAATTTTTAATGAAGATAATCATACTAATGTGTTTCATCCGTATAATCTTGATATAACTGCTGTGACTCCCAGATGACTGTCTCGTCTTCACGATAATTTTTATTAAAATATGGAAGAAACTGAGACAACCCAGCTACCGTATTTTCACTTGGTGCGTTATGAATTGTGAATAGGGTTTTAAATGTTTGTATTATTTGTATTATTTATCAATAGATATAGTTTGATTTTAAGACTGATTTTGGTTAATGGCAAGAATAACATGGTTAACGCCATATACATTCTCTTGAGTATTTCACAGCACAAAATTAGTTTAATTTCAATATTTTTTAGATTATTAGGTGTTGGATGAGTCAAAATAATTCAATTTGGTTCAATTGATTTGGATTTTACGATTCGAATAGGATGGTTAAGAGTGAATATTAGTATTGGATGGTAGAAATTTTTCATGTGTCTTGACGAACTGCTAGAACAGAACTGACTTGATTTTTCGAAATATGCTATGCACGTCTCTTTCTCTCGGGTTGTTTTGAACAAGGGCCTCATTGTCCCCACATTACGGGTCATTGGCTATACTTTAATACGAGAAAGCAAAATAAACTACAGTTGCTCACATTAAAACCCGGCAAATAGTCAAATATTAGTTTCATAAAAATTGTTGTCCATTGATGAGTTTAAATGACAGATTTGAAGAATTTGTGAATTTCAGACAAATAAAGCTGAATATTTCGCTTTGAGCGTGATAGTCCCAAAAAAGTTCAACAGAAAAACGAAAAACTCGTTAAAAAAATCGTTCGTAAAAATAATCCCCACATTCCTCTGAATCATTCAATGACACGAGCACTTTCTCATTCCACGACTGGTACAAGCAATCCCGAAGCTTTATTGGTTTCGAATTTTTCAAATATAGAAAGTCGGTAAATCTGAGAGCAGATTGTAAGGATTTCGGGGATTACCAGTGTTCCCCCGGGATTTGTAAGCTCAGTCCAGTTGAAAGATGTTACTGGTGGCTCCACCGGATTTTTATATATATAGCTCGCTATATTTTTATGTGAATTTCAGCGTTATTAAACGGCCATGAACATTTTTATGACGCCGAGGGGTCCTCAATTTTTCACAGTTTGCATGAGAGACGTGAATTTTTGAAACATTTTCCGATGGAACAAAGAGTGAACGCCACGGACGAGAGCTTTATTACGAATACTGGGGATATTAAATTAAGTGAGGGGCGGGAGGGGCGTCCTTTGTCTCGTGAAATGGGAATAACAGTCGTAATCGTCTTAAAAAATGTCACTTTGTTCTACCTTCAATGCGGAAAAATGTATTTATCTTTCTGATTAGAGGGGGAGGGAGGGGGGGGGGAGAATGGCGGTTCAGTGAGTTGATGGAAATCCGGTTCGGGTGTTTGGAATAGAAATTTGAAAACTGAGACAAGCAGCGCGTAAATCGAGCCTCGGTGCTGTGGGAGACCCAGCGGAGGGTGAATATGAACGACAGTAAATTCAATTTCGAGGGGAAAAAGTCTCTCTGGATATGGGGAAATCAACTTAATTGAGGAAGTCATTGTAGTCGCATGATGTTCATGAGGATCATTGGATAAATGCACTCATACCTTTGTGACCTTTCTTAGGGCCCTCGTTTGACTCTTATGACCCTTGACATAATTAATTTTATAATATTCATATTTTACAGAAAAATTATTCACTTTACAAGAAAAATTGCGTAGAACAATTATTAATCTTCAAGTGTTTATTGGCTTCATGATTTTTTAATGCACTTCCAATNGGGGGGGGGGGGGGGGGGGGGGGGAGAATGGCGGTTCAGTGAGTTGATGGAAATCCGGTTCGGGTGTTTGGAATAGAAATTTGAAAACTGAGACAAGCAGCGCGTAAATCGAGCCTCGGTGCTGTGGGAGACCCAGCGGAGGGTGAATATGAACGACAGTAAATTCAATTTCGAGGGGAAAAAGTCTCTCTGGATATGGGGAAATCAACTTAATTGAGGAAGTCATTGTAGTCGCATGATGTTCATGAGGATCATTGGATAAATGCACTCATACCTTTGTGACCTTTCTTAGGGCCCTCGTTTGACTCTTATGACCCTTGACATAATTAATTTTATAATATTCATATTTTACAGAAAAATTATTCACTTTACAAGAAAAATTGCGTAGAACAATTATTAATCTTCAAGTGTTTATTGGCTTCATGATTTTTTAATGCACTTCCAATGTTTCGATTTCTAATATATTCATGATGTAACGTGGAACGGCAGTAATAAATGAGAATTTATTCGATTTCCGTCCGAACACTCTGAGATTTAAGGATATTCAAGTACTTTGTCTATTTTTTCTCGTCAAATGCTATTCTACTTTTATAGTCGAACATTAGGGCCTTCATTTGAACCCCATTTGCTCCTGATTTTACAATGATTTTATTATTTAAATTTTACAAAAAAAAAATAGAAAGTCCACTATTGGAGGAAGATGAAATAATTTTGAAATTTCAATTTTTGGAAATTACGACTATTTTCTATAAATAATTTATGAACAATCAATTTTTCACCTTAAAACTCATTTCTTCGGACTCGTAACAAATTTATTTATATTCCGAAATCGATTTAAACAGTTTTAATTATTTATTTATAAACAATGAATGTTTAAAAAGATAATAGTTGGGTGCCAAATGTAATTTAAATGAAACTGAAGATTGATAATTTTTTTCAAATTTTTAAAATTTTTTTTTATTTTTTGTAAAATATTCTGAATGACTCGATTTATTGCATTCTCATAAGCTATTGAGTTTTTCTATCCTCATGTTGTTCATGAAGTCAACAATAACTGTTTAAATCAAATAAGAAATAATTTTTAACAACTTGTTTGAATTAAATAGAAATGATTTCACGAAATTTCCACTTTTTAGAGTTTAATCACCGAAACATCGGGGAAATCGTAGGAAAACCTGTACCCTACGGATATGCTTAACCCATTGAAAATAATTTCATTCTCTCAAGTAAATATGATTCAAGACCCCTGAATCCATGACTTTGAATTCCTCCGCAAACCTCCCAAGGTTAAAAATACTCATCACCCAGTTCATTTCCAAACAATCACCCCTCCTCAAACACGAAAATAAACTAGTTCCCCGAAGCCATCACCTCCCTCAATTAAATTTGATTGCCTCCCCCCCAAACCCCCCTTTCACTCCATAAACATTGTCCTACCCCCACAATCCCCCATTTTTCCACTCGTTAATTTAACGTTAATTGATCCAATTACCCACATGAAATATCACTTTGAAACCCCATCAATTATCAAAACCATTTGTCCCTGTCAATTAACACCGAAAACGTAAAAAAACAGGAAATACTGGCGTGACCGGTCCTACCATCCCCCATTTCCATTAATCCCTCTCCCCTCTCCTCCCCCCAGCCCATCGATGACAATGATATTGCATGATAGTATGCGGTGAGGATGAAGTGAAGAGCAAAAGCTGTTAGGAAATCTGGGCGGGGTTTGGCTCGTCGATTAAATGGATTCCGGGGCAATGTTAAGAGCACCACCCGCTGACCTCCCAAGAGGGCACAGGGAGGGCGATGAGCATGAGGAATATTCAACGGTCGCGCGTGACAGCTGAACACAGGCACCCAGTGCCCCGTAATTCCCTTTAATTCGGAGTGAGGGCGTAGGTTCTTATTCTCGGTGGCGAAGTGCCCATCCGTCTTGTTCGGCTTCGTCCGAGGTCGGTAGAAAATTTGAGTGAAGGGTGGAGAAACGAAGGGGTTGGAGGGTGGCGGGTGGAGGTGGGGATTTACACTGAGCCCCTGGCATCTGACTACTTTTTAAACCCAAAGTGATGAGTAATACCTTGGTCATATCATTTTCGTGTTAGAATATCACGTCGGGCTCATTATTCTCGCGATGTTGAAAGGACAGAAATACCCGTCCACCTAATTTGGAGAATAGTCTCGGTTGTGGTGGTAAAATTTGAAGGATGGGATGCTGTCTAGACGTGGTCAATAATTCGGGTGTCGGTGGAGGGGGGACTCTTAATTTGGAGGAGTGAAAGTTCGATGAGATGGGGTTGGAGCATTCTGGAATGAGAGTGTGAAGAATTGATGCTCGATAGGAATGCTGATGGTGGCAGAGACGAAAAGCTATTTCTAGCGTTGGAAAATAATTCACTTATGGTGATTTAGAAATAATATTTGAGATGAATATTTTCGTCTTAGGGCTGAATGCATCTTGAAATGAAGAAAATTGTTCTCGCGAGAAGAGCAAGAAGAGGTCTATTATATTCTCCATTAATTGAGAAGAAAATCAATCGTACGACTGCATTTTATTTGTGCAACCTTCATATAATTCTGCTGTGACCTCCAGATGACCCCCACATTCCGGGGTGATGTTAATGTCGGATTTGACACAGCATTCTTAACGATATTTCCCACAAGATATATTTTTTTCATATTTTTCAGAGTAAAACTCACGAAACTGCAACCATTTTTCTAATTGTTTATTTAAAAAATAACAATAATATTTACTTTTTTTGATCGATTTTTCTTACATACCTAATCATCTTTTGTTAGCAATAAAGCCCTTCTGAATTTTTTGGATTAAATGCAGAACTTTTGAGATATCTATTCGTTACTCACTGGAATTTTACAATTGTTATAACTTTAACAAACAAATTAAGCTCCTGTGATATATGCAATTTTCAAAAAAAAAAAATTCCCTTCGTTGAATGCCCTCTGTCCATCTTACCGACAGTACATCCGTAACCATGAGAGGCATTGCGCAGCTCTGTCGCGCGTCCTCACTACATTCTGACTATACACACCACCACTTGTAGCCGAACCGAGCGGAGTGTTTCGTAGATAATAAAATACATTTTGTGGTAAAGATTTATTGTTACTTAAGCCACGTTCTCCCGTCGAAATAATCCTTGACTTCAATGACGACGTTTTTATTTCATGCCAATTTTAATGTCTTAACCCGTTGCTTCGTGCGCTGCCTCCCCACCGCCGAGGACTGAGCGGACAGCAGGACCGTGCGCTCAGCGGCGTTCAAATTCTTGCGGGGGAATATGTACACGAGCGTTCGCTCGCTTTCCGAGTGTTTCGAGACGGACCTGAACGACGGCGTGGTGGGGGACGCGTTTACGCACCAACATTATACGCCGCACGTACACCGCCTTATGCGCTGCGCTTGTTGGTTTTTGCCCCGTTTAACTGACACATAGACGATCCGTCTTTCTTGTAATAAAATATTTTCTCTTAATTTATTATTCATGCCAATGGAGAATTTTCTGCGTCAGAAGGAAGAGCGATAGTTGCTTGAGGCATTCGCAAAGTTTTAAGGAAATATTTACGTTTTTAGAGTATGTTTCCTATAGCATGAAAATTTTTGTGAGAGAAAAGCTCATACCGCGCCTAACGCTGAGTTAAACTAGCTCCGAGCCATTGTGCGTTGCCACAAAAAAAATTCAAAAAATGATTGTCTTCATGTCCAACTTATAATTTGAGATACTTTCTTTTGTGTTGAGTAACAATCTTTCATGAATGCTAAATCCAGATACTTTACACTCTTCCTCAATCCGGAAAAACCTCGGGAATCGTCAACTTCCTTGAACTCCCATGACAATCTCTGTCAAAACTTCAAGAAACTCTCGTCACACCAGGACTTCCCCCCCCCCCCCCCCCCCCCCC